TTCAGTGTCATTTTTCGTTCTGCATAATTTTTGTAGGTTGCTCGTATTTATACTCCTTGTTAACTACCTCTTTCTTTTGTTAGGTACGTCGTAGTTAACAAGGAGTATAAACACGAGCAACCAACAAAAATTATGCAGAACGAAAAATGACACTGAAGATGGCACAACGCCGAAACCGGTTTGTCTCCAAACCAAATTTGACAAGGGATGACGGAAATTCGTTCCATAATACATCAGACAATGAAAGCATCTGATGAGGCGGCTCTTGGAGTTTTCGAGAGAAAGATTCTGCGAAAGATTTACGGACCTTTACGCGTTGGTGATGGCGAATATCGCAGACGATTTAACGATGAGCTGTATGAGCTTTACAACGATATAGACATAGTGCAGCGAATTAAAATTCAGCGGTTCCGCTGGCTTGGCCATGTCGTTCGAATGGACAGAAACGCTCCTGCTCTGAAAATATTCAACGCGGGCCGCGATTCTGGTAACAGAGGAAGAGGAAGGCCTCCTCTGCGTTGGAAAGACCAGGTGGAGAAGGACTTGGCTTCACTTGGCATTTCCAATTGGCGTCAGTTAGAACAGAAGAGAAATGACTGGCGTGCTGTTTTGGACTCGGTCAAAATCGCTTAGGCGGTGACAGCGCCAATTAAGAAGAAGAAGAAGATTATACTTCACCTACATTTAGTTCATAAATAACATAATTATATATATTTTATCCTCGAAAATACCTTTTTCTACTCATGAGGCGAAATTCCCCACAGTAAGTGTTGCCGTGCGCGCAAAAGGAAAACGCTGCACACAACCCAAAAGTAGTTCCTCCTCGGGGACCGATTGGTGAAAAACTGCGAAAATGTTTATTACTGTACATATATACTGTGCCAGCGGAGCCGCTGTATTTTAATTAGCTGCACTATTTCCATGCCTTTGTAAAGCCCATACAGCCAGTGGCAGATTTGAATATTTGTCACCCCTAGGCAATTCAGAATTTGCCGCCCTTTTTCCGATAAGAGAAATATTTTGAGGTAAGAGTACCAGTTTTGGAACGATTAGCAGTAAATAGTAATATTCAAATGTATTTTGTTTACTATACTTTTATTACAACTTAAGACAAAAAAGTGGTATTCGCCTTAAGTAAAGGTTTTTAACTTTTAAAGAAAGCCATCATCAACAAAGTTTTTTCACCTGATAAGTTATAATTTCAACAAGTAAGAAAGTCTAAGTTCGGGCGGAGCCGAACATTAAATACCCGGCGCAAGTATTAAATATATGTTTTCCACCTTTCCGAAAGCTACCGCTACATGATAAGCCGGGGTGTATACATTTAAGTAAATTAGCGTCCTTAAATTTCGAAATATTGCAGTTTCAAGCATATCTGACATTTACCGTTATATGAAAAGCGGCCTCAATTTTAGTCCGATTTCAACAATTTTCAACGGTTTGCTTTTATGTGGCAAGCACAATAACCATACCGAGCTTGGTACAAATTGCTAGAACGGTTAGCGAGATACATATATGTGATCACAAGTGGGCGGTGCTACGCCCATTTTCCAAAATTTTGTCATAAACGTATTTCTTGGTAAAGAATTGTTGCAATCATCAATTTTGAATAAATTAGCTTCAATATTTACTGATTTATCGAAGATTTTGTATTTCTCGAAATTACCGTTATATGGGATGTGGGCGTGGTTATTGTCCGATTTTAGAAATTTTCGGCCAGTTGGTATGCTGTACCAGGACCAACAACTGTGCCAAGTTTGGAAGAAATTGGTGTAGCGGTTACCAAGATATACACATGTAACCATAAGTGGGCGTGGCTACGCCCATTTGCCAAAATTTTGTAATATTCTTATTTTTCGTCTAAAACTCATTGCAAATATCAATTTTGAGTGAATTATCTTCAGTAGTTACTAAAATATCGCAGTTTTCGTTTTTCTGAAAATTACCGTTATATGGGAGGTAGGCGTGGTTATTGTCCGATTTTTAAAATTTTCAGCCATTTAGTAAGCTGTACTAAGGCCAACAACTGTGCCAAGTTTGGAAGAAATTGGTGCAGCGGTTACCAAGATATACACATGTAACCATAAGTGGGCGTGGCTACGCCCATTTGCCAAAATTTTGTAATATTCTTATTTTTCGTCTGAAACTCATTGTAAGTATCAATTTTGAGTGAATTATCTTCAGTAGTTACTAAAATATCGCAGTTTTCGTATTTCTTAAAATTACCGTTATATGGGAGGTAGGCGTGGTTATTATCCGATTTCGCCCATTTTCAATACCATCCGTCCCACGCCCAAAAGAAGTTCACGTACCAAGTTTCGTTAAGATATCTCAATTTTTACTCGAGTTATCGTGTGCACAGACGGACGGACGGACGGACGGACGGACGGACGGACAGACAGTCACCGCTTAATCGATTTCTCTTTTCATTCTGATCATTTATGTATACATTTGTCTATATCTGTCTCGATTCGTTTTGCCTGTTACAAACAACCGTTATGTGAACAAAGTTATAATACCCTTGTGCACAAGTGCGCTCGGGTATAAAAATACTGTATTAGTATTTTTAAATATTATGATTTAAATAATATCAGAAATACTATTTAGTATTTACAAATACTAAATTAGTATTTTTAAATATTAAATTTTAATATTTTTTATTTATTAGCAAGAAAAGTGTAAGTGCAGTCATATTTCAAAAAGAAATTGGCTCAATTCTTTTTTTCTACAGAAATGTAAAATATCGTTTCATAACTCGCACTCGTTCTAAAAGGGGTACTTCTACCTCAGTTTGATAATTGTATTTCTTAGTATTTGAATTATGGTTCAGTCTTTATTTAATGAAATACAGGAAGAATTACATATAATAATGAAAATTATCACAACTTAGGTACTGCTGAAGAAGTATTAATGAACACATTCCATTCACAGTGCTTTGCATCTTGATTTTTCAGCCGCGAATTCGCGGATGATTTCTTCACAATTCATGGACAGAAACAATTCTGATTCTATTGTTAACATTGCAAGAGCATACAAATTTTCGTCTCAGATCAACGTTTCAACTATTTCTTCACACTGTGCGCAGGCGCGGCGTCAGAGTCATTACGCGCGAATTTGAGAAGTTATGCAAGTAATGACGATTGCTATGTATTATAAAAACATAACAGTGTTGCCCTATTTTCTGATTGCTTAATTTAGTTTCAAATTTATGTCTTAAAATGTACAAACACAGATTCTACTTTCAGTGCAGCTAATTTGGAAAAAACAGAATTTGTTTTTCAACTCAAATTTTGCCGCCCTCTAAATTTTGCCGCCTTAGGCACTTGCCTATGTTGCCTTTACGGTAAATCCGCCACTGCATACAGCTCATCGTTCAGTCGTCTGCGGTACTCGCCGTCGCCAACGCATAAAGGCCCGTAAATCTTCCACAAAATCTTTCTCTCGAATACTCCAAGAGCCACCTTATCGGATGTTGTCATTGTCCATGCTTCTGCGTCATATACCAGCATGGGCATGACAGAGAACGTATATTTACAGAGAAGGACCAAGAACGAATCAGCGTGGAAACTGTCAAATACCAACAAAACTGGCGAAGCGCATTTTAAGAGCGGCCAGCCAGAGATAATCGAATTTTAACAGAGCCCAGCCAGAGGCAAAATAAATTTAACAGAAATTGGCTCATCAATGTAAATGGATTTTTTTCTTGTTAGACAACGAAAAGCAGATGGCTTTTTGCGTTTTTGTTCTTAAAATTGGTTAATTACTTAAAATAAATGCATGCATAGAAGTCGAAATAATTATTAATTTATGTATTATGTACATATTGTGTACATCCATATGTATGCGAGAGATACAATTGTGTGAATCTAAAATGTGAAAGTTATGCAAATATGCAGTATGCAATTGGCAAATTCGTTGGTGATTTGCCGTCGGCATTTGGGTTGAAAAAATCGGCTTTTACTTTTTTATCGATTCATATGGTAGATGCTACGCTATTTTCAACGCAACAAACCGCAGTTTTCTAGCTGCCTTAGTTTTTCCCCAAATTCACTTTAAAGATGGATACGTTGACCAAAAAACGCAAATGCGCACTGTTTGGTGATTTGGTGTCGGCATTAAAAGCGAAGCAAATCGGTTTTTATATATTTAACGATTCTAATGCTAATTTATAGACACGATATTTTCAATGCAACAAACTGCAGTTTTCTAGCTGCCTTAGTTTTCTCACAAATCCACTTCAAAGATGGATACATTGACAAAAAACGTACAAATGCATTGATTGCACTGCACGTGTTAATTTCAAAGTTGTTTTTGTCGAGAAGTTATTTATATTGAAAAAAACTGTGCATTATCATTTTTCACTGCTATACTCGTATTATATGTAAATAATGGGGCATATGCATAGTTAAAATAAAGCCGACACTAAAGTTAGTTACAGCTTTTTCATATCACTTTCAGTGGACCAGGCATCTGTGAAAAAAAGATGCAACTAACTTTCTTATTTGGGACTGACAAACTTACAGCCAGTTTCACCAAATTATTTAAGTGAAAATTACTTTAATTTCGGTTTCACCAATCAATTTTAATTTTGAATTAAGTGACCTATGCTCTGCACTTAAATAAAAGTTAAATCAGAATAACCACACTCAGAGGTGTTACACGTTTAATCACCTGATCATTGTGCATCTGCTGCTTACTTGTATACCAGCCCTGCTTTTACAACACAGCGTGCCAAAGCTTTCAAAAGCTCTCAGTACAAATGAAAGCGAAAGCTAGTCCTAGTCTGTTTTACAACCACTTTTTACTCACTTAAATAAATAGTTTATTGAAACTGAAAATAATTAAAATGAGATTTACTGGCCGTCTCCACAGGATAAAATTTATTGCTGCCCAGCTGTCA